CTGCTTCGATGCCTTTGCGAGGGCCTTTGACACGCTCGACGTCGATCATCCAGTCCAGGCCAAATTCCGAGATGACATGGTCGCACGATTCTGCGAACACTGCCATTGGGATCTCCTTGTCCGTCATCATCACGCTTTGGAGTCCCATCCGGAATTCGTTGCCAAGATGAGCTTGAAGCAGGCTGAGTATGCCGCGTCCATGATGCAGTACCTGTCTGAGAGCCCTCGGGCTCGCGGAAAGATTTCTGGGCTGTGGAGGAGTAAGGCTCGCAACTGGGACCATCTCATGCGCCAACGCAAGTCAAAGTAGAGGGTGATTCTTTTCAACTCAAGTGCCGCTCTCATAACGCAAAACAAACTACAGTTTACACATCTTCGCTCTGCTAGAGAAAGACAGTTGCTCGACGATACGCGCTGGAGGTTGCCATCATTTTGCCCGCTCTTACCAGTATCCAGTAACATAGACAAATATCCTGTGTGTCTTTCAACTAGCGTTCACCTTACATAGAGACACGGAAAGTTCTGGTGCATGCACGGGCATCACCGCCAGACGTGGTGAGGGCGTCTGCATATGACATCTCGAAAGTTGGCGATTATAAGAGCATTATGGATCAGTTGGAGTATCTCCCAGGGCAGATGCCCGAGGAGATTTACGACTACCATCCGGGGTTTACTTAAAAGATAGAATGTATGCACCTTAGCCGAGCTACAGCGACCAAACCCGAGCCCTGAGTATCCTCTTCTCTTCCCTTACAGGAATGTCGCCTTGAGATAAGTTTGCAGGAAGGTCATCAGGCGTCCAAGGAACCTAGCCAACAAAAGTAGCAATCAAGTCCATTTACGGAGCTCCATCAGTTAAATACCTATTCCCGTGCTTTTCACATCTCCTTGGGTTAGTTTCTCGTGCCGGGTCGCCTGAGAAACCTACAACGACACATTTGTGAGATGCGTTAGAAAGGGAGTAAGTAACACATGTGAGCTCTACAAGGTATACTACTTTGGGAAGTTTAGTCCATCCAACATATCATTCCTGTTGCGCTTTAACGTCATCAGTCATTGGCAACTCGATTGACAATAGCAGTGCAGTCAACTATGGAAATCGGGACCCGAAAACTGCCTCTCGGATGAGAACTTTGCAAATACCTTTGATAGCTAAGTGCACGATCTGTTGATGGTAAGGAAGATTAGCCATCATTGCGTGTAGCACTGCTAGATGTAGCGGGTTTGTGGAGAGGGGGGTTGAAGGGTAGAGGTGATCGGTCTAACTTAATAAGTACGTAAAACATGTTATATTGGTAATATGGTTTACTAGATGTAGCAGGTGTTATATAATAACAGAAGAGGGAAGACGTAAGGCCTGCTTTGGTATTCTACCTCATGAGAAAGAGGTCATATAGTTGCTAAAAAGGCGTCTTTAGTCAGGAATGCGTCGTGGTCAGTACTAAAGTAGGGTAGGTAGGTGGCTTGATGAAGAACGAGTAGGTCTATGTAAGGTCATATCCAATCGAAGCCGCCACGCAACCTTGTTGAACTTGGCTAGTTGGGCAAACGGGCATAGAGCGGGGCGGTGGATGGCTTCGGCCTATAGTTGTATACGGTTGCACGTGTCCCGGCGCGGTCCGACGACGAATACTACACTTCAAAAAAAAAAAAAAACTTTATTTTTTATTTATTTTTTATCAACTCTTCTACAGCCCGTCGTGTTACTCTGGTAGGCTATTTGACAGGACCATCACACACGATGCTACGGAATGGCGGAGGACAACGACGGGGCAGCCCTCAGCCCTCCCCCTCCTCTTTCCCTCGCTCCATCTTCTCTCCTTCACTGTGGACGCCGGTCTGCTGCTTCTTCCCGGTATTCGCCTAGCCTAGATTTGCTGTTAGCCTTGCCTCTTGAACCGAAGGGCTCTCTTCCTTACATTGCTTCCACCCCTTGATAGCCTGCTTCGTCGTGCATCCCGAGTCCGTGTTGGGCAACGTCACCGGCGGCCCGTTGCCTAAGCTGGGGAACGACTTCGTCGGAGGACATGTGCACTCTCCTATCAGAGGCGTGCATATGTTGTAGCATTCGTCGTCCGACCCAACGTAGATGCACTTGATCAGTCCTGCCGGGCACTTCCGCGCCGCGGCCATCGCTGCGAGGCCGGCCAGCAGGCTGGCCGTCATCTTCCACGAGCTAACCATATTGACGTCTGCGGGTGGTTGGTGTGGTCGTTGAAGGCGGGGATTTACAGTAAGGTTGTATATTCAGTTAGAGTAGGAAAGTAGGGGCTGCCGGAAACTATACGGCGTGCTTGACTGTTGTGCTCAAGATCTACCCAACCTCGATAGCGCGCTCCTCCCCTCCTTTTATAACCGGTCGAGAATCGTTCCTGCCTCCATTGGTTCCGCCGGCACGCCTCGTTCACCGTCGGCCTCTTTGAAAAACCAAGGTATCGCCATCCCCGGTCTCGCCCATCCCACGCCAGCCGAAATGTGGTCAGAACTGTGTTTAATTATCATCAGACCATATCCGTAGACTTTTGCTCTTTGGAGTCCCCCGGCGCAGCTTTAGCCTAAAACAGACCTCCTCCTCGGTCTTACTTGTACGGAACCTAGTTATCAAAATGCACCGCAACTTAGCCAACGATCTTGACGCCAGGGTCTGGCCTATACGCTACCGCCTATTTCGTCTAGATAGCCGCTCAAGACGTGCGTCTTTCTACTCATAGCCCTCGTGTTACTGGCCGCTACGACTAGGGGCCTATTAGTCTTCTATGAACCGGTCCGCAGTTTCCCCTTAGGCTTCTATGCAGGCTAAGTCGCCGGTTAGACTTCTTGGACTATACCCTCCGCTTCTATGATCTACTTCGTTTACGCCCAATGGCCGATGGCTATGTCCAGCCTCGCCGCGGACGGCTTCTCGCTGCCCGTCCGATTGCCCTTGCATACGCCCTCCTCTGCGCGTGGACGACTTCGCTCGAAACGCTCAATGTGCAGCCCTCGTGGGCCGCGGCGTCCGCATCTTGGGACGACGAAATACTGTACCTGTGCCGTTAGAGAGAAGAAGAGATATAAAGGGGGGCTTCGACGCTCCCAAAGTGCTCTCTGACTCCCTCATCGCTCAGGCCTCGTCTACTCTACCTTATTCCTCCTACCTTCACTCTCCTACCGGTGTTTGCTTCGTACGCCTTGCTTTTCAAACACTCCTCCGATCTCTTACTACGCCACTATGCTGCCCGCCACATTGGTCGCCCTCGCCGCTGCTCTCGCCCCGGTGCTCGCGGGGCCCGTCGCGGGGTCCGTCGCCGAGCCCGAAGGCGCCTTACAGCAGCTCGAGGCCCGCAAGGTCTGCGGCGCGGGTTACCTCGCCTGCCACTATAGATTCGGCAACGGCGATAAGGATCAGTCCGAGTACACCTGCATGTCGCCGTGGTGCACTATCCTGAAGGACTGCAGCTGCCCGAAAACTGCCTCCTTCAACCAGAAGCCCGCCTTCCTCTTCGATAGCGGCTGCCGTTCGAAGGCTGCCGCCGGAAACCACCCCACCTGTTTCGTTGTCGGATAGAGCGTGGCGAGATGAGGGCTCGCCCGTTCCGCTCGGCCGTTGGGAGGCGTGTTGTAGCTTGCGGTTGTCCTACACCGCAATGGCGGGGCCGGCAGGCTTGCCTCCTCTCCCCGGCACCGGACGGCGAGACGATCGCGCGTGGGGTCTATGGAAGGGTTGGATCCATGATAGTGCGTGGGTCCTTGGTAGAGACGACACTGGTTCCACTCCCGGCTACCAGGGGCGGGCCGCGACCGGTCGTTTCCGTTGCCCCTCGGCCGGCTTATGATCTACCGAGACAAAAGCGTCTATCTACTACGTGCCCTTTCCCCTGTCCTTCGCTCTTGTTCGGCACATAGACGTGGAATCTCCCAGCTTGTACTCTAGCTTGACTATCAATAACTTTCCACTCTCGTTGCAGAATCGTGGCTGCGCGCTCTGACTCGTGACATTGTTACTGTTGTGTTGGGTTAGCCGTGAAGACTCCACCTCCGGCCGCTGGTTCTCGGCCCTTATCCGTTGGTTCTCGGCCCTTATCCGTATACCCATGCGATCTACCCCCGATGCTGCGTGATAAGCACGGCGGCGTCTTCTCCGGGGCAATATGTACCTGGCCTTGACCATAAGAAGATCACGTCGACATCGCAATCATAGCCCAGTAGTGACATTCTCGTCGTGGCCGATACTACGACTATTAGCAATACGCTTATAATGGATACCAATTTACTCTACACACTAGGCCTCGGACCTGGACATATCACATTATTACAACAAGTTTTTTCTAAACTTAACGCTATCGTCCTTATTTTCAATGTAACTATCACGGTCTCACTGGTTATGATGTTCTGACTAGGATGATCATATAGTATAGGCGGCTAGTTTGTATATGTAAAATTGATTTCAAGACTCTAAAGTTTGCTTTGGTAGTCGAGTTTGATGGATATTGCATGCCTTGGTCATGTAAGTCTTGTTTGTATTCAAGTTGAGAGAAGTTTGTTGGAGTTAGGCCACAAAGGGTGGCAATACAAGTGAGCCTTGCTTTCAAAGTAAGGTAATAAGTAGTCTATCCAGCGTGTTATTCTAACCTTGGCAGTAAAAGTGTTGCGCTTAGACATCAGCAGTCATTGGTAACTCGATTGACAGCAGTTGTGCAATTAACTATCCCAATGAACAACCGCATATTGTCTCTCAGATGGAAACTTCGTAAACGCACAGAAAAGCTGAGTGAACAATCTGCTAATCGCAATTCGGGCAATCCGAAAGCGAGCATTGTGTAATTACTGTACCTACCTAGAACAAGACGTCTTGTCCCAGTTTATTCTTAGCAGGTAAAAAGTGGGACCGTTTTCTGACTCTGCAGCCACAGCTTCCGGTGATGCACGGAGTCACAACACAAGCCGAGCCAATCAGCAGTCCAGCTTACTAACCGGGCATTTCTCGAACATTCCCCTCCGACCTCACCGAATACCTAGCAGAAGCCGGCGACCACCTCGCCTATCCTATTCACTCTAGTATTGCGCTCCGCCGCGAGGAACCACTATCACTATCAGCATTACTAAGTGCTAGATTCATTCGGAGACTATTGCGCAATTCGTCGTTCTCAAAACATCCATCAGAAGAAAACATGAGCGCGTTGACATCCGCTACGGCGTTCTCGCCATCACTGGAGGCCGTCAGGTTGGCTGCCAGCATGTACAATGCGGCCCGCGAAGGCAACAAGGCTGTCATTGAGGAAGGTATCCTCGATGGGCTGCCGCCGAACCTGACGAATGAGAAGGGAGATACATTGGTGCGTAGCGATGCTCACCTTAGCGGCTGTTTCTCAGTGGGAGGAGGGGGGGGGGGGGGGATGCCGTCTTCAGCGTCTAAACCAGAGACCTTGACGATAGGTGTTGAGTAAGCTTACGGCTAACATCTTATTCAGCTGATGTTGGCTGCGTACTACGGTCATGCGGACGTGGTCAAGCTCCTGATCCAGCATGGAGCTGACCCCAACAGACTGAATGACAAGCGTCAAAGTCCCATCGCGGGCGCTGTCTTCAAGGGCCTGGATGCAGTAATCGAGGCAAGTTTGCACAAGAAATCATGGGGAGGAAGGACTTCTCATGTCACAGTGCTGACGCTGACTCTGGCAGGTCCTCCTGGAGGGTGGTGCTGACCCAGAATATGGCAAGCCATCAGCGATCCAGTGCCTCACAATGTTCAACCAAGAGGGTAAGTGGAAGGACAAGTTCGAGAACGCACCAGGAAGAGGAAAGGCAAAGGCAGTGCCTCAAGATCAGGCGGAGGAGAGGGCCCCCGAGAAGTTCAAAGCATGAGCGATACTACGAGACTTCGGTGCCTACAAGCAAGGGCGCGGCGATGTTTCCAACTTTAACGAAGACCACAAATTATGAGAGACCATTTTACAGTTCATTCGTTTATCTGAGCTGCCGTAATATTCTTGAACAGATCGTTTGTTCAACCCCAACGTCCACGATGAGGTCATTCCTTGAGATCCAACGAAACCAATGACTCAAAAACCATTCCGCTCGGGATCTCCTTCCACTGCTTATTCTCGTCCAGAAGCGCCTGACTCGCCTCCCACTCCCTTCGGATGACCTGGGCATGAGCATCACTCCTCGGCGTAATCTTCGCAGGGAACGGCTTCGGCTGGACCAGAAACCCGTCAGTAAGGTCATCCGCGTTTGGTGTAATCTCATTTCCCTCAGTATCAACTGCTTTCTCAAGGCTGAAAGCCCACAACAGCCTCGAAATACTCAGGAACAGCGATCGATCAGCGATATGCGTTCCCTGGCAGAGCCGTCGACCAGCACCAAAGACGTAGTGATCGCGCTTCGACGCGTCGCCATTCATCGCTGACTCAAACGAGTTCTGTTCGTCGCCTTCGTAACGAGAAGGGTCAAAAGCGCGGGGATTCTCGAACCGGTTCTCGTCCATGTTGATGGCCCATACATTCAGCATGACGCCTGCGCCCTTGGGAATTTTGTAGCCCATGTACTCGTCGTCCTGTATGACGGCGTGCGGCAGGCCGAGGATCGCAGTCGGCATCCAACGCAGGGACTCCTTAACGCATGCCCGTATGTAGGGCATCGAGTCCCAGTCATCCATGTTCGGGAGTCTCTTAATACCGCAAATTCGGTCCAGCTCGTCCTGGGCTTGCCTCTGTACCGATGGATGTAGAACCATGGCTTGGACGAAGCCAGTCAGCGTGGATGCGGTGGTGTCCGAACCAGCCTCAAGCGCGGATCCAGAGATGTAGCCGGCCAGGGCGTCGGAGAAACCGAGAGTCTTTTGGCTTTCGACGATGCCTACGCAGAAACAGGGCTGAGCATCGGTCAGTATCCTATACGCGATCTCGAATATGGGGCAATGCTAACTTTCGCTGTGCCCTTAAGAACACGCTCTTTGGCATCCATCCAGTGACCAACGTACAGAGCCCTCTCTTCCTTATGCAGCGCCTCAGCATATCTTTTCCCGGGCGACATGAACCCGAGGTTCCTCAGGGGTGGGTACACATCCAGCATAGCAGCCGCAGAGGAACCCACGACCTCGCTCCATTTCTCAACGCAGTGATACAGCCTCTTCAGTTTCTCGTCATGTATGCTCGTTGTGCGGAAACCAAATACCATCTGCGTCGTCAGCGAGGTCGTGAAGCGACGGATGTGATTGACAAAGGAGTCGGGCTCTTCCAGGAACCCGGATAGCATCTGCTTGCTTTCGAGGTCTTGGTATGGTACGTAGCCCTTGGCGGCATTGATGTGTAGGACTTGGTGGAATATCTTTCGGATCATGCGCCAGGTTTCGCCGTATTGCTTGTGTTCGTCAGTCCTAAATTCAGAAATTTGTTGATATCCTGGAAATGCGTCGAATAACTGACCATCATGACAACGCGGAGATTGCCGCTGACTACATTTCCGAGGTAGAGATCGGTGCGAGAGGAGTAGATGTTGCTGCGTTTGTCCAAGAGATCCTTGACTGCTCGGTCGGACGAGAGCACAATCATGACCTTGGTGCCGAGAATGAGCGAGTAAACTGGGCTACCCAAGACGCCAAAGTTAGTATATGGTTACTCGTACTTCCCAGCCATGTAGGCGAGCGCTCCGTTGAACATACCCATACTCTTTAGCCCATTTCTTGAACTGGTGATGCGATTGCGTCGGTGGAATCTGGTGCAAATTTCCGATCAGTGGTAACGTGGGAGGTCCCGGAGGATAGTTCTTGGGCCGTCGGCCGACATTCCGCAGCTTGAAGATGGCAATACCTAAAATCGCCAGCGGGATCAGAAACAGGAAAGCCATGATTCAAATTCGGGCGTGGAAGATTCCCGTGAACGGTCAGCGGTGCAAAGTGGAAAGAGCGATAGGGAAGGATTGAAGTAGAGAAAGACCGAGAGCGCGACAGCGAGTTCCAATTTCAATTGCCAGCCATCATCTGCTCTGCTGACTTCTATGCGGGGAGTCGACGGCAGCTCACATATCATCATCTGGGCTTAGTCGTGCCAAGTGTGCACCCCTCATCGCAACTTCATCCACGTATGCCGAACGGACCACCCAAGCAGCCAATGCTGCGTTCTACGTAAGTCAGCGGGCCCAGAAGCATGAGAAAGTTCCACCTTCTTTTGTTGGTACCGTGTTGTATCAGACTGCAACCTGGCTCTCCATAGAGAACACAAAAGAGTAAGCTGCAGGACAGCTTGTTGGCTTCACATGCAAGCAGCCAATGATTTACGTGTGATATTCCAGCTACGGAAATGCAATGTGACGGTCCGACGCATCACTGTCAAGGCTCTTTCAAGCGCCTGCTCCAACGCCAATCGTTAGCGAGAAGAGTAATTGACGGCAAGTACGCAGAACAAAAGCTGATACTCTCGGCACTGAGTGACTTAATAAGTGGAACATTACAAGAGCTGCAAATTCGTCAAATGCTGCAAATTCTGTCGGTATTCTTGGAGTAACATATGACGATTGATTATTCTTACTGCTGGGCAGAGAGCGTTAGAAAGACATCATGCCACTGCAGAAGAACAAGGATTTTCAATGAGTACCACGGGTACTCAGCATGGCCCAAAACCTTCCGAATTATTCTCACCGCCAGTAAATCCAGCTTGCAAAAGAACCAAGCGCTCGTGTTTACTTTCAAATGTGACCCGAAACAGTGAGGTTCATCGTTTCCAAAGCCCTTTGCTCGTACTGCAAGATCACCGCCGTAGCGACCTGATATGTATCTAGGTCGAGTTTCATCTTCGACGAGAAGCCGAAGTAGTTTGTGTGCGCGAAATGACTGCGCCGCAGAGGGAGGAAAGTTAGGCAGAGAGCGGTCGCTGGAAGTCCTCTCTGCTGCTTTTCCAAGACGCATATTTATGCATTAAGTCAACATACCCACTTCCTGGCACCCCCCTGTTTCTGGCACCACAAAAACGATGGGATCACAACCCAACCTCCTCATTACTATTAACTATTGATCCTCAACCACACCCACTACAATACAGCTGCCAGCCTCACTAGGGCATTCAGAGTCGCTGGATTCAGCCGTGATAACCTCCTTTTCACCCGCTTCGATTTGAGCCCGATGGATATCCCTAATGTTCGCGAACTTCGTATTGGGATCG